CTGGATGGAAGAGAAACGTCTTCAAACTTGGAAACAAACTTCATTGAATTGTTTTTAACTTTTTTAAATGACTAGGAGCCTGAACAGACGTTTATAAAACCAGCAACCATCCATCTCTGCTACCTTGGGTTTGTCTGCTTTTCTTTGAACCACAGAAACTCGCAGTCTTGGAGGTTCCCGAACTCCACCTCCAGTTTGGGGCAGACCGGGAATCCGGCCATCAGGGACCGTGGGAGTTCCGCGGTGCTGAAGGTGGGCGCGTTCCTCTGCACGCGGTACTTCACCTCTCCCACCTGCAGCACCGCTCCGTCCTGCCAAGCCTCGGAGTTCGGCAGCGTGTCTGGGACCTCAGTCCCTCCGAAGAACAGCTTCACCACGGCGGGTTCCGCCGCTTCGCTCAGCTGCTCGTCACGCTTCTTCTTGGACTTCTTCGCCTTGGTCTGGTTCTTAGCGATCGCGTTGGAAATGCGAGTCAGGACCTTCCCCAGCGCCTCGTCCTGGTCCCTCAGCATGTGCTTCTGGCTCTGCTCCAGGCAGAAGGAGATGGTGAGCTTCGGCTCCCCGGGAAGGCACCGCACCACGGCCGCCTCCATCCTGCCACGAAGGCGGAGGGCTCTGCTGAAAGTCCGCGGAGTGGGAGAGAGGAGACAGCGGGGGAGCAGAGCACAGGCAGCGGACAGTGGCTTCAACATGAAGCCCTCGGTGGATGGAGGAGGAAACAACCACAAATTCACAGCAGAAGAAGAAGAATCACCAAACGCTGCTACGGCTAGTCGGTTAGCTCAATGCTAAACACCCAATAAAATGGACAATTTATTTTAACTTTCTCTTCAGAACTAAAACAAAGTCAAAATATATAGATAGCTAATGACGTTGGTGCGAGTAAACGCAAGCTGCGTCTTCTTCTACTGTTTCTCACAGTGTTTTCAGATAGTTCCACCGGTACAACAGCGCCCTCACTGGTCAAACGTATAATAACACATATTCCATAACTACTTCTTCTTCTTCTCGTGAGGATTTATGGCGGTTGGCAAACTAGTTACAGTGCATTATCGCCACCAACTGATAAGGAGTCAAACGAGGAAAGAGGAAACAAGACTCACACCCAGAAAAATAAAAAAACATTCAATAAAAAAAATGATAGTCTTCCAATCTATATTTTTAACCAAACAAATTAAATACTTAATGAAATTCGTCCTCATAATTTCTAATATATCTTTAAATGATCGTCACTCTGCCAGTTTCTGATGGTCCTATTTTTCCCCCATCAGACTTTCAACTGTTTCCCAGTTTGAACCTCTAACATCAAGATACTTTTCTGCAGTTTTCACTGTAATTTGATATTTCCGTGTTTCCTGGTCATCTGAGCACTACAGTCGATCACTTCTACCATGAAAAGAACAAACTCTTTTTAACAATCAATGAATCTCCTGCAGTGTAGGGAGGTTTTAAACCTGTCATTTCCTCCTCTGTTGGTTTGGGTTTTTCTGACTGGGATTAGATTATTTTTTCAGCTTCATCAGAACTTATTCTGAGCTCTAATTTCACTTTTCTGATCTCTTTAGATCTTTTGCTCACTTCACATCCTGGATAAGCAGCAGTCTGTTCTCCACCACAGTTACAGCATTTTATTTTAACTTCTTTCCCACATTTTCCATATTCCTGCTCTCCAGCAGACCTTCCATATCACTGTTTTCCTTTACATGCAGCTGCTATATGACCGAATGTTTGGCATTTAAAACATCTCAGAGGATTGAACATTTTCACATTATAGTTCATATATCCAATGAAAACCTTACTGGGTAATTGCTCCTCTTCAAATGTAATCATCACAGATAAGCTGTCACACCTTTCTCCATTTCTTGATGTTTTTAACTGTTTCACTTCTTTTACTTTTGCACCACTTATATTTTCTAGAATCTCTTTATCAGTTCCTTTTAGAGGAACTCCTCCAATCCCTCCCCTGCTCCTCCTTTTGTTCTCCATCAAGCTGCACTGAACTCTTTTCCCTCCATCTTGTTAATGCGTATAGCTTTGCCTTGCTGAGGCTCTCTGCAGTTTATTAACAGGTCTCCACTATACAGGATGTTGGCACCCTGGACTCCTCCTACAAGTTTATCGTTTTTGTTATAACTGGACCTGATTCCAATCTGCAGAACAGTCTCCCTGATTCACCAGTTTGAATATGACTTTATAATCATTTTGTTTTCCTGTGGAATTTCTAGATTATTCATGACTTGATTGTTCTGAACTGGTATCCCCTTCAACTGATCTCTGCTTTTTCTGCTTTTTCTCATTTTTTGACTTTACTCTCTTCCAATCTTTTTCATTTTCACTATTTCCTTCTTCCATCAAGCAAGAATCGCTTCCTGTTTGCTTGCTACTCCCGATCCGGGACATTTTTCCACAAGTGATTTAGAAACACGGGCCATGCACATCGGAATTACCAACGATTTAACAATCTATTCCATGACTTACTGGACTGATCGCGACTTAATTGGTGATTTCACCAATTAATAATTATTTCCTGTGCTATTTTTCTTTCCCTAAACAATATTTCCTTTGAATTCTGAGTTGTTAAAAAAAAACAAAGATTTTTTTTTTTTTAACACAACCACAAAAAAAAAAAAAAAAAGATTGTTAACGTAGGTTGCTACGGTACCGAGCCCCCCTAGGGGACAATTTTTTTTCTTTTGCGTTCCCTCGCAAAAATCCCCATGTCCCCTAGGGGGCTTCATAGGTTGCAACTATCCAATACCTATTTGGAGAATTTTCTCTAGTTCATAGTCATTTATGTTTAAGACTATCAAAATATAAGTCATGTTTTTAAAATTTTAAATAATGTTATAGAGTTAATTCGTATTTCCAAAAAGAGAGAAAAACTTTTTAGATTAGATATTTTAAGCATCAAATCTTTATTGTCTTTATCTGACTTTTTAAAGTACTAAAACAATCTAGAGTCTATGTTTCTGTTTTTACTATTAAACTTATTGGAACAACAATGACAAAATATTTTTTATATCTTCTCATTTCCTCTCTTGTCAGATATTTGACTTATTTTTATTTATAAACACAGCATATCATTTCATCTGATTATATAATTCACTCAGGGTTGAAGATTGTCGTTATTTTTTTTAAACGTGATAAAGAGAAACCAAACCAAGTTTAGCTTTAGATGAATTTCATGCTGCAAATGCAAAGAGCCGCTTTACAAAGGGACATTTTTTTCACATGAATATTTTTATTAAATGTATGACAAAGATAAATGTCAAAATTCACTCATTTTAATTAGAAAACATGGGAGTTTTATGTTAAAAAAAGGAAATCCTGAGCAGAAAGCATATAATACGCTGGTTTTATCCACTGCTGTGTCTCTTTCTTTACATCCCGTTCTTCTCCGTGCAGCTTTCCTCACAGCATCGGTCCAGCTGCTCTGGGCTTTGAGGGAAGTAGATGTCGGCTTTTTGATCGTCGTCATGCTCGATGTGTTTCAGGTGAACGACCATGTGCAGGGCGTAGGCCAGAACCAGCAGCAGGATGAGGGATGTGATGAGGCCCATCAGGATGGCCGGGGTCAGGACGGTGCTGCAGTTGCTTGCAGGAGAGAACCTCCCTGAGCTGATGTTGAATGCTTGGATCTAAACACACATATAACCAATAAAGTATGTTAAAGCTCAGCTAAACAGACCCATGTATTGGGATATAATTAGAAAAGCACCTGGAAGTCGATGAAGGTGATGGCCCAGCGCTGTGCCTGCTCAGTGCTGGGCAGTAAGAGGCCGCTGTATCTCTGCAGACTGCTGACGTGCAGGCAGCGGTAGGACGAGGAGGCCGGAGCGTAAACGTCTGTGGCGTTGAAGACGACCTCAGAAGAGTTGGTTAAAACAGAGACTCTGTCCACTGAGAACCACCACTGACCTGAAGACTCGTAAAATGTGTTGGACAGCTGAAATCTGAAGCGTAAAAGAAGAAAAGACGGAACAGACTGGAAATACAGCAGGTTCCGCCCAGTGGTCCACAACATTACATGATGGAGTGACTTTTGTTCCATTTGTCTTCATGAGCAAATAACACATTTTTTTATATTTGAATGTTATATATTTTGTCGATAGTTTCGCTGCTATAGGCTTAGACTGCTGGAGGACATAGGGACCCCTTTTTCATCATTCTGCTTCATTCTATC